CTGTCGCGACAGTTCGCATTGCCACGGTAACGCGTCTGGCGTTGTTAAGAGTGACGTTCGCCTGCGCGCAATTTCGGCGGACGTTATATAAAGATATATAAGAAAATTATAATTTATTCGTCTGTAATTATTCTATTGTGATTTCATAGAGTAAATCGCCGCTAGATACAAATCTCTCAATCAATACTACGTACATTATTTACGTGCAGTGCGCGTCAAACATTGCCGTAAGAATACTGGTAAGTTTTTCTGCAGTTTCCCTTATCCTTTGCAACAAATCTTGGTATTTATATGATAAATCGGCTGCAGACGTAATAAAAGACAAAATTTATTATTATTCATGAACACACTATGTTTTTTTAATGAAAACTTCCTTTTCTCTCTACAATTTTCTTAACATCGTTATTAGGGGTCTTGTAGTACCCTTTGACTATATACACTTGGACTGCCAGTAGCCAACTTCAGACGTGTCCCCAAACTCCAAGCTGAAAAATTAGGCTCCGCCCCGGAGCTCAATTTTCTGCGCGAGTGGGGAGCTTTGACTATAGTATATGCACGTTTATGGTGTGCAAGTAAAGGCCTAAACACAATGGTGCTTTCCATAAAAAATATCTATCCATTGTTGATCAACAGATAGATTTTTATCGATATGAGGAGCAACAGTTTTTAACATTATATATTCTTCATATAACTGATCTCCATCAAATTCTTGAGAACTTCTGCTACTTTTACAATATCTTGAAATAACTCAAGTTTTGAGGGACAAAGATTTGAAAAATATTGGAATGGGCTATCTTTGAAATTATACCACTTCTCAAGATAAAAAATACATGTAGATAAAAAGTTAATAGCATTTTCTTCAAATGAATTGAATGCTTCAGTAGACCTAAAAATGTTAAATTATTACAGGACACGGGTCACCAATCACTAAATTTCTTTAAGGACAAAAATTTTTCAATAAAGTATTTTTTAAACAGATTTTCATAAAAAAATATTGGTAAATATATTTTATAATGGGTAAAGGTAAAGTTCAGGGTGATCACCTCAAAAATCGATAAAATTATATTCATTCGACGCATTTTTGCATAAAACGAAAGAATCTGGCAGAAAAAAATGTCGCTCTGCCTCGCGAACCGAGATATTAATCGTTAAAGTTCACGACTATTCCGGTTAGGATATCTGTCATACCTTCACTGCTAAAAGTCACTGCTTTAAAAACACAAAGGTACTGTCTGCAAACACAAAAAGTCATTTTTGTGTTTTTAAAAAAGTGACTTTTTGTGTTTGTAGACAGTACTTTTGTGTTTTTAAAACAGTGACAGATAAAGCAATGAAGGTATGACAGATATCCTAACCGGAATAGTCGTGAACTTTAACGATTAATATCGATTTTTCATTATTGCTCACTTGAGTGTCATTGATGTCCTGTATGTCGTACGATGTATTATCCGTATTAAGGTAACTATTAGTATTATCACAATAATTGGAATGATCCATTTTCTCATAATCAAACTAATTGAGTCGACAGATCGTGAAAAGAGGTTATAGCGGAGAAGAAGAACAGAATGTAAAATCTGAATGCTGATTGGTAGGCTATAACAGGCTATAAGGCGATAGACACGGAATTCCAACTCGTCGGAAATTTATCGCTATCGCCATCGCTATCGTTATTCCATGTTCCTATGTGCATTGACATGATTCCTGTATGTTGGATTCCTCTGTTCCTATCGCTATGGGCCTGCGCACAATAGAGGAATAAGAATTAGATATTAAGATTTCAACCTATCAGAAACTGATTACATCGGAATATATGGTTTCTGATAGGTTGAAATCTTAGTATCTAATTCTTATTCCTCTATTGTGCGCAGGCCCTATGTCTATCGCTATCGCTATGGGCCTGAGCACAATAGAGGAAC